AAGCCACACACTTCCAACAAGAAGTTTGAATGATATTTTTCCAGGATACATAAATAATGAAAATGATATGGTCAATAAAAACACAATTGAGGCAACATTGTAGATTTAGGAAAGAAAATCATGGAATAAGATTGTTCGCACCACATGCATTAAAAAAGATGCAGGTTATGCAAGTGAGGTTATAAGATAGATCTTAAAATAAATGAGGCTATAATTATTATTATGGCTTATGTACTTAAATTTCTTGCATATTATGTAAATGAGGCTATGAAGTGACGTTAGAATCCATGCCTTTATGGAGATGAAAGTAATATAGATGAGATTGTGGCATGAAGTTACAATACAGTTGAACACACCCACAATGATTAACAGCCACACAAGAAGTTTGAGTTAATAGAAATACATATGGATGGGATGTTTAAATACTTTAATTGATAACAATAATTCTCAAGAGAGAATTGTTCCCATTAAATATATGAAAATTTTCAAAAACTAGAAAAATGTAGAGACAAATCATGAGCAAAATTACTTATAAAAGATTCAATAAATTTTTTTCTAATTTTAAAACAATTTCCAAAAAGAGATGTAGAGACAATCCTATTAAATTTTGGAATAGAAAAACCATCTTTCTTCCATACGCAGCAGGATTTAAGAAATATATTTTAGTCTTTTTCTTCCCTTGGAATAGTTTACGCAGCAGGATTTAAGAAATATATTTTAGTCTTTTTTTTTTTCCTTGGAATAGTTTATTTTTTTTTAATTAAAAAGATTAAACTATTTTTTGTGCTAGTCATTTAAATGTTTTGAGATGGTTAAAATATTCATTAATTCTTTTGAAAAATAATAAAATGCCATCAATGTATGTTATTAAATATTTAAAATAAGGATCAAAAAAATGTTTTATTATATTCTAGACTTTAGATAAATAAAATATTAAATTTGCAAAATAAATTATTTTTTTATTATTCTGATATAGAATGACTATTAAACACTACCATTGCCAGTCTCATGTTTGGATGTGAAAAGTGAAGGGTTGCGTGAGGTAGTCGAAAGACAGCGTAAAATTTGTCGAAAAAATCATGACATGCATTCTTTTGATTATTATGTAAGTGTTAGGGTGTCCTTTGGAAGCAACACGCTATATGATCTGAATACAGTGGAAGGTATGCAAGGGTCTCTACACTAGCGTCCTGGTGTAGTGTCAAATAAGCAAGGATTCCCACATTACAGACAGATGCAGGTAAAGAAATTAGTCATTGAAACTAATATTAGGATATGATCTTGGAATGCATGTACTCTCACATACAGGTACTCTCACTGGAAAATTAATGGAATTAGTTGATATTATGATTCATAGAAAGATAAATATCTTATGCATTCAAGGTAAATTGGTTGGTGAAAAGACTAAGGAGATTGATAATTTAGGTTTTAAACTTTGGTATTCAGGTAAGAGCAGTACTAGAAATGGTGTAGGCGTAATTATAGATAAGAGTTTGAAAGATAATGTTATAAAAATTAATGGAGTTGGAGATAGATTTATAGCCCTTAAAATTATTGTTGATACTAAGAATTTTAATATTATAAGTGCTTATGCTCCTCAAGTAGGTTTAGATATATGTTCTAAAGATAAAATCTGGAATGACCTAGAAGAGTTAATATACATGATACACTTCTAAAGATAAAATCTGGAATGACCTAGAAGAGTTTATATACATGATACATCTTGAAGAAAGAATTTTTATTGAAGGAGAATTAAATGAACATGTCAGTAGAGTGGTAGAAGATTTTAGAAATATTTATTGTAGCTATGGCTTTAGAGTGATTAATGAAGAAGGTAGAGTTATATTAGATTTTGCTTTAGCGTATGATTTTGTTATTGCTAATACTTTATTCAAGGAAAGAGATAAGCATATTATTATTTGTAAGAATGTATCAAATAAAACACAAATTGATTATTTTTATATGTGAAGGAGAGATCACCGAGAATGTAAAGATTGTGAGGTCATTCCAAGTGAGAATTTAAGTACTCAACATTGATTATTATTTCTAGATTTTAAGATGAAGAATTGTAAAATAAAGAATATTAGGAATTATCATCGTAGAATTAGATGGAGGTACCTAAAAGACACAAATAAAATTATTTTTACGAGTAAAATTCAAGATTTTAAAATTTGGAATGTTCATAAAAATGTAAATTCTATGTGGGATAAAGTAACAAACACTATTAAACAAGTGACAAAAGTTGTATCTGAAGAATCAAAAGAAAAAATTTCTATAAATAAAAATAGTCAGTGGTGGAATAATAATGTGCATGAAAAGATAAAATATAAGAAGTTATGTTATAAAAATCAGTTTAAATGTAAAAGCTTAGAGAACTGACAAAAATATCAAACGACTAGTATGGAGTCTAAGAGAACAATCTGTGACGCCAAAAAAATATATTTTAAGTAATATTTATAATATACAAAAAGAAAAGAAAAAGAAAGATTTAAGTGCATTAAAGATGAAAACCAAAAAGTTATTTTTTTTGGAAAAAGATTCAAAATATGTGGATGAGTTATTTGATAAAAATTTTAATGAAGTTTCAAAAAATACGATCGGCATTAGTGATCTTAATATAGTTAATAATAATAAAATATTTTAGTTTTACCCCCGCATTAGTAAAAATGAAGTTGAGGAGGCTTTAAGGAAAATCAAGGGTGGAAAGTTTAAAGGACCTGATGATAAATCAATTGAAGTGTGAAAATGTTTAGGATATTTTAAACTCTTTAGTATTATTTCAAAAACTAAAAATATGTCTGAGGAGTAGAGGAACAGTATTTTGGTCCCGTTTTTAAGAATAATTGAGATGCACAAGAGTGTGCAAATTATAAAGGAATTAAGATGATATGTGATTTATGTCGGACAGGACTACTACAGAAGTTATACATTTATTGAGAGGTTTGATGGAAAAGTTCAGAGATAATTAGTAGAGTCTAAATAACATTTTTAATGATTTAGAAAAAGCTTAGGAATAAGGTCTTAGGATAAGGTTCCAAGAGATAATTTGAAGAGTTCCTGAGAAGAAAGGTATTGATATGATTTATATTCAAGTCATTAAAAATATGTATACACGGGCTATTACTTGAATTCGAACAAGAGGAGGATTGACCAAATACTAGTTAATAATAATAAAATATTTTAGTTTTACCCCCTCATTAGTAAAAATGAAGTTGAGGAGGCTTTAACGAAAATCAAGGGTGGAAAGTTTAAAAGACCTGATGATAAATCAATTGAAATGTGGAAATGTTTAGGATATTTGAGAGTTTCTTGGCTTACTAAACTATTTAATATTATATTAAAAACTAAAAAGATGCCTAAGGAGTAGAGGAAGAGTATTTTGGTTCCCGTTTTTAAGAATAAAGGGAATGCACAAGAGTGTGCAAATTATAGAGGAATTAAGATGATATGCCATATTTTAAAATTATGGGAGAGCATAATTGAACATAAGTTAAAACGCATTACAAAGATTTCTCATAATCAATTTGGATTTATGTCGGACAGGACTACTACAGAAGTTATACATTTATTGAGAGGTTTGATGGAAAAGTTCAGAGATAATTAGTAGAGTCTAAATAACATTTTTAATGATTTAGAAAAAGCTTAGGAATAAGGTCTTAGGATAAGGTTCCAAGAGATAATTTGAAGAGTTCCTGAGAAGAAAGGTATTGATATGATTTATATTCAAGTCATTAAAAATATGTATACACGGGCTATTACTTGAATTCGAACAAGAGGAGGATTGACCAAATACTTTCCTATTAATGTTGGTTTACATCAGGGATCGACTTTAAGCCCATATCTTATTTGCTTTAGTTATGGATGACCTTACTGGACACCTATAGGAGGATGTACCGTGGTGTATGCTTTTTGCTGATGATATCCTTCTCATGGATAAAACGATAGAAAAATCTCAAGAAAAACTTGAATTATGGATGTCTACCTTGGAGTCTACATTGGAGTCTAAATGCCTTCATTTGAGTAGAACTAAAACTGAATAAATGGAATGTAATTTTAGTAGTACTAGCTCTAGTGACAGAAGTGTAAATTTGGGTGATCAAATTATTAAAAGGTGTGAATGATTAGTTTTCTCGGGTTTGTTTTTCAAAGCGATGGTGATATAGATGGGGATGTTAATAGTAGAATTCAAGTTGGTTGGTTGAAGTGGAGGAATGCTTCGGGCCTTTTGTGTGATAGAAAAGTACCGCTTAGACTGAAGGAAAATTTTATAAGATGGTGGTGAGAGTTGCAATGCTCTATGGCACTAAATGTTGCCTTTAAAAGAGAAACATAAAACTAAGTTAAGTGTTGTTAAGTGTTGCCGAGATGAGAATGATTAGGTTGATGAGTGAATTTACACTTACGAGACAAAATGTGGAATGAATTTACGAGTGATAGGGTTGGTGTAGCTCCAATGACAGACAAAATTAGAGAGTTGTCTTAGATGATTTGGCCACATTAAACGTCAACCATACGATAAGAATAAATGTTTTAGATTCGACTTATGTTGAGAAAGGCAGGAGAAGACCTAGGAAGACTTGAACATATTGTATAAAAAATCATCTTAATTTATTAGAATTAAATGAAAATATGACACTAAATAGGAAGCAATGGAGAAAAAGGATTCATGTAGCCTACCCCACTTAGTGGGATAAAAGGTTTTGTTGTTGTTGTTGTTGATATAGAATAACTACAAGCAAAACAAAAAAAAATAATCTAAAGTTAAAAATTTATATTACATTAACAAAAAATGCCATGATGACTACTTAAAAATGAAAAATGCATTTCATGCATAGGTTTACGCATGTTGCAAATGTAAATATCAAATTTTAGCTGTTAGATTTGCAAATATCTCAGAATTTTGTGGTATTTATGTGAGCTTTAGAGTAATAAAAAAATAAGAAAATAAAAAATAAGCAAAAGCAATTCATTTAAAATTAATGAAATAAATTAGTTGGTAAAATTTAAGGAGTACAATAAGTCTTCAAAATATTTCTAGCCAGATCTACAGCCCCACTTTTCTTGTAAATCAAATGTAAGTTAAATGCAGCCTCCATGTGAAGATTACAATAGCCTGGTTTAACACTCACTGGAGCACCTGGATCTTGATTAGGAAGCTTTGGAATGGGGTAGTCTTTCTGTTGAATTGCAAGAACCTTCTCATAATACAGAGCTGCCAATGTTACAAGGCCAACATGCTGATACGCTCTGGCAATGTTGTAAAGGGCTTCCTACAATACCAGTTGCATTGGAGAAATGAATAAAAGAATTAAGTAACAAAGAATATTAATGAAAAAAATTTAAGGAATTATGAAATATTGTAGACATAACCAAGGCAGTTAAAATGTTATATTCAGTTAGACTATCCTGCATCAGGCTAATCTGATACACAAGGCAGTTAAAATGTTATATTCAGTTAGACTATCAAAGTTTTCTAGTCTTTAAGCTAGAAAAAGAGAACAATGAGGACCTCAAAGTTTTCTAGTCTCATTAACATCTCCATTATGAGAAATAACCTCCATGGCTACTATAGAGCATCTATAAGATCTAGGCCAAGTCATCATACATCTCGCGATCATCATCGTAGTCACCTAAAAAGAAGAATAGGATGATGAAAACAATGCCTATCAAAGGGATGTGAAAAAGGGGGCATAAGGTATGAAGGGATCTAGTGCTGCAAATGAACCGAGCATTTAACAAGATACTTGTGGCTTAGCTTGTTTAAAACTCGTTCATAATATTTTTGATTGATTAATCGAATGCGTTTGAATACTTTCATAGGTACTCATTTACTAAATAAATAAGCTTGCACAACTTGTTTGCTTCATTTATATTTATGAACAAAATCATTTAAAACTCATGAACAAGATTGTCAACAACTCGTTTAAAGGTGCAATTATGATTCAGTTATAACTCATTCATGAGCAATATCACTTTCTTTTTAGGCTCAACGAGTATTGTTTGATATTGGCTTGTTTATTTTTTCTAACAAGGTGCTCGCATAGAGCTCAAGTAAGGCTTGATTAAAGGTTGATTAAGAGTAGCTTAAGTTTCGTTTATTTTGTTAAATGAGTTGTTCATTTATAAGCTCGATAAAACCCTATATGAATCGAGCTAGAATCGAGCTCGAGCCAAGCTCAAGGATGGTAGCCATAAACGAGCTCAAGCTCAAGCCGAGTTTTAAAAGCTCAAATCAAGCTCGAGTTGAGCTCGAACAGGCACTTGCTCGGTTCGGCTTGGTTCATTTGCAGCCCTAAGAACATCACCTTCCTCATATGGGTGATCATGAACTGAATTGGTCTTTAGTGGTGGTGCTAGCCGAACAACTCTATGTTTTAATGGCTTTTATCTAGCTTGAGACAAATGATAAATTTGTTCATGTTTTAAGATGAGGTCTTCTATTTGCAAGTAAACTTGTTAGGATCATCACACCTACAATTTGAAGTTTTACCTTGGTAGCTATTCTGTAATTTAACCATGTTAGTTAACATTATTATATTGTTTCTAGATTTATAATTAATGAGTTAAATTATCCTTTCATCCAGCCTAATCTCATGTCATTCATCATCATGGAGTTTTAAGAAACCAGTGTGTTTAAATACTTCATCCATGGTCTAAAAGTGGATCCTAAAGAGATTGAAAATGAAATCCATAAAACAATCAAGATGCTGAAAGGCAACAACCTGAAAAGGAAGATCCACAACCTGCCTACACTGAAGGTAGAGAAGTTAAAAATACTCAAATTTAAGGACTATTTTTCTTGGAATTACATAGACGTAGCTGTTAGGATGACAATGCACAAACTTTTCATCTGTTCTCGAGTGACATTAGAAAAAAAAAAAAAAAAAAATCTAAGGAGAATGAGATTGGATATTGAGAAAGCAATCAGAGATACTTGGAAGCTTGATGAAAATAATTTCATTAAGAAAGAAAGAATTTGTTAATGGAATGCAAACTTCGTCCCAAAATGGATACTGAGAAGGTAATCATGAAATCTATCTAGAGAATGAACTTCCCGTACATCTAAAACATTCATAATGGGTCATAAGGCTAGGCTGCAAACTAGTCATGATGGAGGCCACAAAAATAAAAAAGTAAACATATTTTGTGCCCCCGGTGATATTCACTACTGAAAAATAATGCCTTTCACATCAAAAATTGTTAGAAGCACAAAAAAATGGCTATGAAGTATACATTGGATGGCTTCATACACGTATATGAAAGCATCTAAACGATCTTAAGATTCTACTCAAACAAATCAAATTAAGGCTGTAGGAAGTCTCATCCCAAATCAATTATCCTTATTATTGCACATATTCTGCATGAATCAAGATTTTAACATTAAATATATATATATATATATATATATTATTAATAACTACCACTAATCAAGATTTTAACATTAAATATATATATATATATTATTAATAACTACCACACAGGAAAATATCTCAATTATACTCACAAAAACACCCTAAGAGCATTTTTTTAAAAGCACATACTAAGTTACCAAAAGCGTGTTGGTTACTTCTACAAACTTCGCATTTTCTTCTTGAGGTACTTCATTCAACATGGTCGAAAGGTATATTTTTAACAAAATAATCAATACTAATGTTCATCAAAAAAAAGTTAGGCGACCTTATTTGGTCATTTAGCTGCTAAAGAGCTCATCCATAAATACACTAAAAATACTTCCCGTTCATCAATTTTTTATGTTGCTATAGAAAAACTGGACTAATTCTAAAAAAAAAATAATAGATAACTAAAAGCATGAAAATCATATAAAGAATTTGCAGCAAACCTGATTATTATTACAGATACGTAGATAGTTGTAGAGGAAAGCAAAACCTTGGACCACACACTGAAGCTTATTCTGAACCCTAAAACCAAGGGCAAGGTTGATCAAAGCAGTGCCTGGCATGCATATGAAAGGATTGACGGGAAAACATTAATACCAAAGAATGAATCTAGACTCATCGAGTAAAATATAATTTGGAAGCATTTAAAAATGACATACCAACACAAAGATTTATTAGTGGATTCTCAGGCTGAAGTTTGTAAGCTAGAAGATATTCCTCAGCAGCAGCCTGGTGCATGCTTTGCATGGTACATTGATTTCCATTAATAATCATTGGAGGTAGACAGTCTTTGTGCATGACTCTCATTTGATGCAAAAACTTGAGATGTTTTCCAAATTTATTTTGAAATCTATTAAACAAGCAAGATGCATGTATTAGCCAAGCTAAGTTAACTAATTCACTTCATAAAATATGAAGATGGATAGTTGAATGTAGTGTCAATGTGGATTAACATCAAATGTATATTAAGCAAATAGTGAACTTATCGCAGTCAGACAAAAGCATAGTAAGCTCTTGGTGCAACAATAGCATGGCTAAATCCTACAACAAAAAATATTATTTAAATTTATATAGCTCGCTAAAGATGACCATCAGTGAAATAGCAATGTGGCAAATGCTAAGAAGCAATATAGGATGCATCATATCTCAAAAGGAATAGCGTTATAAACTTTAATTTGTTGGCACGCTAAAACAAATATAACTCATTTTTATTAGTATTCTTGAAATTTCTAGTTTGTTGGACTGGACATCACACAATGCTATTATGTAATGTAATTTCTTGGAGTTAACATATATGGTAGAGTAATGTAATAGTCAAAAATTACTTGTGAAAATCTGACCTTGGATTCTTGTCATAATTGTTTTCTTTTCCCATCTCAATTTTGAGTTGAAATGAACTCAATTTGTGCTGGTATTGTTTGTCTCAATAAATTTTCTGTAGATTAAACTTGTTAATCTCCAATACTTGTTGAGAATTTGGCTAGTTAAGGAAGTTATTTTACTTGAAAAGTCTATTTACTTTTCATGGGATTATGTTAATTTAATCATTCTATTGTATACTAGCCTAAGTAACAATAACAAAATCAAATTAATAATTCTATGAGAAATAATCAAACTTCCAAGTAAAATAAATCTTAAACAGATCACATCTCAACAAATAAAAATGAACAGGTTTCACCAAAAAGAAATTTTGTTCAAATAGACAATCTAATAAAACACAAATTTATTTTCTTATGAGAAGAAAAACTTGTCGAGAATGTAAAGATTATAAGATCATTCTAAGTGAGAATTTAAGCACTCAACATCGATTATTAATTCTAGATTTTAAGATGAAGAGCTGTAAAAAAAAAAAAAAACTAGGAATCCTTGTTGTTGAATTAAATGGGATCACCTAAAGAACACAAATAAAATTATTTTTATGAGTAAACTTCAAGATTTCAAGATTTGAGATGTTCATGAAGAAGCAAATTTTATGTGGGATAAAATAACAAACACCATTAAACAAGTGGTAAAAAATGTACTTGGAGAATCAACAGAATAAGTTTTTATAAATAAAAATAATTGATGGTGGAATAATAATATGCAAGAAAGGATAAAATATAAGAAGTTATGTTATCAAAAATGCTTTAAATGTAAAAACTTAAAAAACTGGGAAAAATATAAAATGACCCGTAGGAAGTTTAAGAGACCAATTTGTGACGCTAAAAATTATGTTTTTAGTGATCTTTATAATATATTACATACTAATGAAGGTGAAAAATATATGTATAAACTAGTCAAACAAAGAGAAAAGAGAAGTAAAGATGTAACTCAAGTAAAGTGCATTAAAGATGAAAATAAAAAAGTTTTATCTTAGAAAAAGATATTCAATCAAGTAAAGTGCATTAAAGATGAAAATCAAAAAGTTTTATCTTAGAAAAAGATATTCAGCATAGGTGGGTTTGTTATTTTGATAAACTTTTTAATGAAGTTTATGAAAAAAACGATCGACCTTAGTGATCTTAATTTCGTTAATAGTAATAAAATATTTTATTTCAACTGTCGCATTAGTAAAAAAGAAGTTAAGGCTTTAAAGAAAAACCAAGGGTGGAAAGTTTGTAGGACTTGATGATATCCCAATTGAAGTGTGGAAATATATAGAAGATTTGAGAGTTTCTTGGCTTACTAAACTCTTTAATACTATTTTAAAAACTAAAAAGACAAGAGTGTGCAAATTATAGAGGAATTAAGTTGATGTGTCATACTTTAAAATTATGAGAGAGGGTGATTGAAAATAGGTTAAGACATATTACAAAGATTTCTCATAATCAATTTTGATTTATGTCAGGCAGGTCTATTATGAAAGCTATACATTTATGGAGAGGTTTGATGGAGAAGTTCAGAGAGAATTAAGGATGATCTACATCTGATTTTTATTGATTTAGAAAAAAACTTATGATAAGGTTCCAAAAGTTTGGAGAATTCTAGAGAAGAGAGATGTTGATATGACTTATATTCAAGTCATTAAAGATATGTATACTAGAGTTGTTACTTGTGTTCGAACAAAAGGAGTATTAACCAAATATTTTCCTATGTCAGTTGGATTATATCAGGGATCGACTTTGAGCCCATATCATTTTGCTATATTTATGGATGCTCTTACTGGACATTTACAGGAGGATGTGCCTTGGTGTATGCTTTTCGCTGATGATATCCTTCTAGTGGATAAGACTAGAAAGAAAGCTTGGGAAAAACTTGAATTATGGAGGTCTACATTAGAGTCTGAGGCCTTCGTTTGAGTAGAACTAAAACTGAATACATGAAATATAATTTTATTAGTAGTAGCTCAAGTGACAGAGTTATAACTATGGGTGATCAAATTACTAAAAGGTGTGAACGTTGTAGGTCTATTGTTCAAAGTGATGGTGATATAGATGGGGATATTATTAGTAGAATTCAAGTTGGTTGGTTGAAGTGGATGAATGCTTTGGGCCTATTGTGTGATAGAAAAGTATCGTTTAAACTGAAAGGAAGATTTTATAAGATGGTAGTGAGACCTGCAATGCTCTATGACGCTAAATGTTGACCTTTAAAAGAGAAGCATAAAACTAAGTGAAGTGTTGCCGAGATGAGAATGCTTAAGTAGATGAGCGGCTTTACACTTAGAGACAAAATGCGAAATGAATATATCTATGATAAGTTTGGTGTAGCTCCAATGCTTGGGCCTATTGTGTGATAGAAAAGTATCGTTTAAACTGAAAGGAAGGACAATTAGAGACAAAATGCGAAATGAATGTATACGTGAAAGGGTTGGTGTAGCTCTAGTAACAAACAAGATTAGAGAGAATCATCTTAGATGGTTTGGTCCAATTAACGTCGCCCATCTGATGATCTAGTTAGGAGAGTAGATGTTTTAGATTCGACTTATGTTAAGAAAGGTAGAGATAGACCTAGAAAGGCTTGGGCATATTGTATAAAAAATAATCTTTATTTATTAAAGCCAAATGAAAATATAACACTAAATAGGACACAATGGAGAAAAGGATTCATGTAGCCGACCCCACTTAGTGGGATAAAGGCTTGTTGTTGTTGTGAATCCAAGGCCAACTTGCCACGTGTTTTTTTGGATATTACATTACTCTATCATATCTAGTAAATCCAAGAAATAACACCTCAGAATAGCATATTGTGGCATCCAATCCAACAAACTTGCAATTTTAAGAAAGACAATCCAAATTAGTAATATTTGTTTATGGGTGCCAACAAATTAAATTTAATAGCTCTATTTCTTCTGAGATATGGAATTTTCTATGTTGGCCATTAGCATATACTGCATTGCTATTCCAATGATGGTATTCTTTGATGAGCTATACAAGGTTAAATAACATATTTTCTTGTAAGATTTAGCAATATCTTTTATATAAAATTAATTGATAACTTCCATCTTCTTGCAATTGTTAGAAATATAAAAAGCATCTACCCAAAAGTAAAATAGCACATAGAAAAACATATGCACTTAGTCAAAATTACCTTAAAATAACTTCATAATATGAGTTCCAAGCAAAAATGCTGTAAGGATGTTGTTTCACCACATTCCGCGCATAATCATATGCATGCTTTGGATCTGGAGTAACGTATGCTATTTCTGTAGCAAGAGAAATAAAATTAAAGCAAACAACATTCAACAAATTTACAAACATGAATCAGTTATAGATTACAGGCATGAACTCACTGGCCCCCAACGATTGAAGCTCTTCCTTTTTCACAGCAGATACTCTGTCGTTTGGGAACCTCGTTACAAGATTTACAATCTCTAGTGCTTCTGAATAACGATGCAAGGATACCAAAGTTTTGCATAGCTGTGAATGGTTATGGAAGGTAAATAGAGACAAATCTTTTTTACTTGATGGAATAAACATTTTTTAATTGGAATAATTTTTTTTAAAAAAAAATGTAGAAAAATAGTACTAAAATAACATGTGCATAAGTATGCTGGCCAAAAGAACAAGTCCTTTCTTAAAACATGAGGCCCAAAAATCAAATAGAATAGTACTTGCCTATGGA